CTATTAAAACATATAAAAATGCCATGTCGATGATGCGTTTCCAAACAAATTTACTGAGGGAAACGTACATTGGTCTATTTTCAGTCCTATTGTTTTGCAGCATTAATCAAATCCTGTTCAAAACAAGCGTTTTTAGCGATAGACCGATCATTTTGCAGTTGATTATCAACTTTTACAGCACCACAATTCTTCAGGCATTTAATAAATACGACTCGTTTTAGTTTCACTACTGCAGAAATGTCACACTTTTTGCCTATAATTTATCCACTGACGGCGTACAACTAGTGCTGCTTCCTTGTTATTTAATCAATTAGATCAATTTGTTTTTTCATATGACGATAAAAATAAACCAACTTTAATATTTAAACAATGTGTATTCTCCATACTTGCATATTTTTGTTTGTTTTTTATTGGATAAACTTCTTTGACACTAAAATTTCATTAGCGATTCCTTGCCCATATCTAACATGCTTACATGTAATAATGACGAGCTGGAGCGATTTCCGATTTCTGACTAAGTCTCGTTTTATCAAATATACTCCGATAGTGCCTGGAAAAAAAATGAGAAAATATCAACATGGCAATGATATCATAATTCAAACTCAAATTCCATAAAACTAGGTTAAAATATGAACAAAAGAAAGATTTACACGGAGACTCATGTAAAAGTACAAGGATGATAAGACCAGTTGTTCCGGGAGAGTAAGCGTCTTCTGTTTCAATGACAACTCCCACCTTGTAAATTTCAGTCAATCCAAGTAAGTAATCTCATGAAAGAAAGGTATACAACAATGGCACCAGCTTCGTGTAACTACAACGGAAGAGAATATTCCTAAATGAGATCCCTAAAGCGACCATAAAACATCCCCAAAATTTTCATCAGCCTGTATCTTTTTAAACCTTATGCTTGTGATTTTCATTACATCAGTTTTCAGTCTCCGTCGTGCAAAAGCCAGCGATGACACCACGGATATAGATCTAAGTCCGTGGTAACATATTAGTATATGTGAATATGTCGGCGTGTGTTGGTGAAGCCATGAATCATGCAGTTCAAAATGTTGATCAACTTGCGTTCATTTTTAAGCAGTGTCGATTTCATGTTAATTTTAATTTGTCACGATTTCCATACAATGTTTATGTTAACTGATATACCGCACAGCTTAATGTGTCGTGTTCTTCTCACACCAATGCTTTTGCTGAACAGGCGACAAAACTACGACAATTATTGTGTTAAAATGCCTATATCACTAAAGTCACGATTAATATCTCACCATAGTTCCATAAACATATCATGTTGAAAATCAAACATTTTATAACATGCAGGGGTTTGCTGATACCAAATGGCGACAAGACTACAACAACCATTGTTTGCATTAACATTAAGTTTAACGACAGGCCACACATTTCCTAGGTTGCTTGAACATCTTCGTTACACATGCAAACTTCTCATTTTTTGGGGGGTTTGTTTTTATTTTTTTTATTTTAAGTAGTGAATATCGAGTGCAGTCGGCATTTGAGATCTGATATTTTCTCTTCCCAATGTCTCCCTTGATAATTCAGTTGAGCTTTAACGCTTTAAGTTCTGTCGCTTAGCCGAGACATACCAGAGTCTATGAAAATGGTAGTTACTACTTCCTACTATAAGCCTAATGCAAGTGTAACAATTCTCTCGTTATGAATATAGTATTAACAGATGGTAGTGTACGTCAGTGTGGTAGCACAGTAAAGTCTGTGTCTGTTCCGTACTATCATAAGCAGCCATGTTTTAGATAAGCATAGCAGTTGAAACAACAACGTTAAATAAAGTAAACCCTGGGAGTTAAGGGGTTAAAAGAGGTATAATATTTGAAAAGTCAGTTGTTTTCGTTAGTCTGTGGGCAATTTTCCAAACAAATCTAGGAGTTGAGTCTCTAAAGTTCTCCTAAAGTCCATTGATGTCCGCATAAAAAATCGTTTGTCCTTTCCTTCTGATTGTAAATAAGATTTATATTTTCGTAATAATCTGTTTCTTTTTTTCTAATTTCGCGTCTTAAGTCGGAGTTGAATCACGGTTTGTCATTAGGTCTAACTGTTTTAGAAGGAATACACTAATCATTAATTTCTAAGTACCTAGTAGTAAAAATGTCACACATATCGTCTGGTGAATGTATGTCTATAAAATGTTCTGTCCAATTTGTATCTAAAAGTCGATTGTTAAAGCGTTCATAATCTGCAACCTTATAACATATAACATTTCTTTTATGACTTCTTATATTGCTAGTCGAAAGAAATACCACCATTTGGTGGTCTCTAGACTGTGCTTAAAAGAAAAATTTTACTTGGAAACTGGGCGGAAGTCATTTCTGCGACACGTGCACAGAAGGCTGGAAGTATACACATTAATCCTCCATCCGGGATTCCATGTTCCTTTACATATTAAAATTCTCTAAGAATATGTCTTCGCCAGTTATATGTAAATCAAGAAGAGTCTCTGTAATACAAACTATATCAAAATACTAAAGCTTGTTTCTTAAACTACGTATGTTCAGATGAAAAATAGAATGTCTTCAGTATGTTCAACTGGACCTGGATTCGGGTGATCGTCATTACAAGATAAAAGTAGCATTTGTAAAATCAAAAAGGGTTGTCGATTAGACTAGCAAAGAGGAATTGCACAAAATGTGATAATTCGAGGGCTAGCTGTGTAATCTGAATAAGGCATTCTTTATATTGTAAATGTGTCATCTCACGGAAACGTCCAAAGGATTTCCCGAATTGGATTCGGCAACGATTGTAAATGGAGGCATTTTCGCAAAAAGAAAATTTCAACCACTTCTATATCAATACAAACACACGATGTACGCGCATAAGACTTGACATTTGAGTGAAATTTCTCATTCTTTACAAACATATATGTGCAATACAAACCAGACCCGGAAGTATACATTTGTGTCCACTGTGCATATGACGTCATTAATCCAAGATGTTTGGGAAAGAATACCTTGTATTTTTCAACTCTGAAAAAGCGTAAGAAATATTTACCAAATCAAACTCTACTAGAACAAGAGTTGTTCAGCATGTTCTCCATACCTATGAGATAAAATCAGTAGATCAATACATCCAGAAAGAAGGAAGATATGACAGTTTTCCTAACACAATACGTAGAAAAACGTAGTAGGGAGTTAAAGGGTTAAGCAAACGAAATGCTACAGACGAAAAACTCATGATAGCAACACAAGCCGTATAAATGCATCAGTTTCAGAGAGGTCAGTTGTAAACTAAAAGTTCTTCAAATAAGTTTTAAATGCAAAAACGCACACTATAACTGTAATAATCGGGGAAAAATCAATGTTTTTTAACAGAACATTTTAGAACCCAAGGAAACTGATTTTGACATCAGATGTCCCTCTTGGTTGTAACGAGAACCGACCGGGAATACTTGACGTCTGCTCAAAACATAAACCACGCCCGTGATACAATATGTACGGTTTATTTACAATAGATAGTAGCTACAGTATCCACAAAATCCACATTCAAGCTGGTTCTCTCTCTCCCGTCTCTCATACTCTCACTCAGTAATAAATTCATGATGCTTAATAAATTGCCTAGATACATCTGGATGTTGAATTATCAGTGTCCAGTGAAATAAATTAGAATAACTTAAAACAACACGTCGAATTAAGCACTAACGCTTTCATTCCTGAATGTTTATAATGCTTAATATATTGCCTTGAAGTATCTAGATTCAGGAATCTACAGGAATGTATTTGAATAGATATATAAATGAAAAGATAAATAGACACTAAAATTATAGAAAGTCACTGTAGCTTTCGATGGGCATTAAACAGCATCGCTGATGATATGGTTTGCACATACAGTCTCTGTAACTCACAGATGTTCTTGTCCAAATTCACCTCATGCAGTCGAATCAATGGGTACACAGTTCAATGAAAGTTATTGTTGGTCACACAGACCAACGAGATATGTATTTTGGACACGCAGACCAGAACCTCTCAGGCACAATGGAGACCAGTTACGATGTTGGCCTCTCAGACCAGACGAGTAGGTCGTTAGCAATTGGCGCTCTTACGCAACCATACAGGTTCAGAAGAGAATGTTATCACTTAGATGCCGATTAATGGTATCTGTCATCTTGGTATTCACAGTATTCATAAGACCAACTGTCTCTGGCCTAAGGTCAGCCACGAATGTCTTGAGTTTTGGTAGAAAGATACAATATATGTACGCTTAAAGTAATTGGTTCTCTATATCGCACGCATTAATATGACATACAATAAATCTAAACCAAAACATGAATTAATATAACATAAAACCACTCTAACATACAGCATATATATGCGCTTACGCCTAACACCTAACGCATCAAATCCAACAATGCTTTTGTTTACATTCTACCCGGCCCATACACACGCATATAGACACTGCCAGTGCACCAGGTAGAATACACATAATGCATCTAAATACTACACGTATAAGGTAAAATGTATATCAATAAAGATAACACGTTCACTACATTCATTCCTAGCATTATGAGGTAACTTGTTACAGGTATTAACTTCGAAATGGCCACCGCTCAAACCTGTTCGCGCATGCGTAACTTACTAACCAAAGTTTTCCGGTAGAAAAAGAGCGCGTAATTCGACCGCTTACTTTTTACTATGCAATGTAATGTGACACTGGTATCAATCTCCATATGACTATGACTGTGCATGTTTGCGAGGACGTTAACCCCTAGACATATTCAATATCTCTTAGAAAATATGACTCCCGATCTGGTTATTTATAATATGTTACAAAAGAGCAGGAAATTGGCTTGAAAATTATTATGTTTTCTGGGGAGGGGGTGTTTTTATTTAGCAGGCAAAATCACACCTAACTAATGACCCTATTGTAGATACAGTTATCGTAACAAGTGAAATCACACGGTTGATTAAGTTGATCAAATTTTGTACTATTTTATTTTTTCTCAACGGAAGGGTATCGATTCCACACCTCAGGACATGGAACTAGACGATGTACAGGTGGACCTCATCAACAAGGCCAGTAAGAAACCACAACCTGACCGTGACGTTTGGTCTAACAGATTTGAGTACCTCTTGGGCTTAATCGGATTTACCATTGGACTTGGAAGTATCTGGCGTTTTCCGTACCTTTGTATGAAAAATGGCGGAGGTAAGGACAATCATTTCAGTTCCAACTTTAACCCTTTGTTATAACTTTATTTCTTTTATCAGAACCAGAAAGCGGGAAACAAAAACAGCTGTATAGTAATACAAACAAAACACAACGCCTTGTGATACTGCTACTCCTAAAATATAACAATAAACAAAACTTTTCTCAGACCCATTGTTACATGCTTCAAATGGAAACAAGTTCGGGCGTTCTTTATTCTTTATATTGAAAGTAATGATTAATTTCATTTATACTCATACCTCCAGCAATAGTTTCATTCATTGTGCCTGAGAGCATTGACGAGAATCACATCTAATATGCTTCTCAACTTTGACGTAAATACACACTAGCAGAATCTATGATGAATATCACTGAATAACAAATGAAAAAAGAAAACTTTCATGACCATTACTGATGCATGCTTAAATAAAAAACGATGTTGCTGTCGAATGAGAATAAGTGACACCTCACTCGGAAGACGAGATGGACGAATTTCAAACAGAAGTACATATGGACCTGTCCTTGTAATATCCGATGATGAGGTTGATAAATGTGTTTATGAACAATTATGGAAGAGAGAACAGTTCAAGACGTGAATGATGAATGACACCAGATAACCGACCAGTAAGAAGATATACCACTGGGAATACACAAAATAATGATAAATGCAGCAAACAATTTTACAACATCTCAAAAAACAGACATAAGATAGGGATAACACGTCATCGTCAAACATTAATTCACAATAATGTCGATATTCAGCTCCTTCAATGTTAAGCACTCTTCTAAAACAGTCATAAAAAGTAGAATTATTAAAAATATTGTAGAAGTAGTTATATAACGATGCATTTCAGATAAATCTTTTCTTAAAACCACCTTAAGGATATGTTTTGTACATAGAGAATAATCCTATTTCTACCGTTGACATTTTAACTGTATCATTATAATAAGTCTTTTCCAAGTGACATTTACTCAGTTTTCAATGAACACCGTCATACATTGTATGTACTCCTTAGCTATCATCGATTTTCGTGGGTGGCCGCTCCTTGCTCGTAATGCACAACACATTCACTATGTTGAGGGGCGATAGAAACCTCTAGAGATTACCTTTTTTCCTATGACGCAGGTTAACAGGAGTATTAAAGCCTTTTAGGGTTCCGCAGAGAATAAGAAAAAAATTAACGGTCTTTGCCTTATTTACGATAGGATTCTAAGCATGACAATTGTTTTCAACAATGCTGATAATATGTTTTAAGTTATCTGGAGCATCCACGCATGGACAAAGAAACATAAGAAGAAGAAAATATCAAAAGTGATTTTTTGATTACCATTGAATATCATTTGTGTAGGGCAACATCGTCATTGAACAGGCCACATGCTTTTCCACGGGAACAAAGCATTGATTTATATGGTCTGGCTTGTTTTCAGGCTGACGTTTGGTATTTCCTAAATAACCCTTTAAAACAGGTTGATATTGCTTCATCCTTGAATAAAAAGCAGTGACATTTGCCCATGGGAAAACGGTCTCGAAAATCTGTTCATCAGGCACAAGCACATGCCAAATACATCTAGATAAATTGCTTATATTGATCATATGGAACCAACTGTACATTTTCCCAAAACGATGGGTATCTCAAATGAAAAATAACCATTTCACAAAAGTTTATACATTTATACTTTTAAGTCCTTAAGTAACAATATAACCATTAGAAACAGTAATTGTAAACACGACAGTCACTTACCTCGATCTATTGTGTTTTACATGTAACAGTTAACACCTTTTAATACTAATCTACAATTAGCTACAATAGAGCTAGCGAATGAATTCAAATACATCATACACCATTTCCATCCTCCTTGGACTCGTCAGTGATGCGAGGGGCCTAAATTTTGAATCCTAAGACGTTGAAATCTACATTGGAATGTGCACTTATATCATGATCTCCGTACAAGATGTCGGCATCTTAGTGTTTCGAAAGATGCAGATTGAAGAAGATTATTAAGGAGCTTTACTGTTGTCATGTTAAAGGCATTGATAATTTTACTGGTCCTGTCCTGTCCTGGTTGAATACAAAGTTTGACGTGCTCGCTGGTACGCCTTGTGGTTCCTTTTTTTTTTTTTTTTTGTTTTTTTTTTTTTTTATTTTATTATTAATATAAAATTCTTAGAGTCGTAAATTGGGTTTCTGGACATATTTACCAAGAATCGTTTAATGAATGTCTATTTGCTTTAACTTATTTGTTATAAATATTATTTTCTTTATTGTAGGAGCATTTCTGGTCCCGTTTTTCTTCTTCACGCTGTTATGTGGGGTTCCGCTCTACTTCTTGGAGTTGACGTTGGGTCAGTTTTCTGGACAGAGTGCCGTGATTGCGTGGTCGCTATGTCCACTGTTTGAAGGTTAGGAGAATTTTACTTATACACAGAGTTTGCCAGTTACCCATCTCCGAATGGGTCATGTTTACATGTATGTTAAACATTTGTATATAAGAGAGAGATGGCCAGCCAGCCACTTAAAGTTAAAAAAACTATTGGACTGCGTTGACCTGGAAAAGACACGAAAAGCAAACATGCCTAATTTTTTTATTTGATACAGTAAAATGAAACAGCACATTGAACTGTCGTCCGTCCGTCTGTCCGTCCGTTTAACATGAGATGACTTAAAGTGATATCAATGGTAACGCTATATGAGTGTGTGATTATATTCATTTTACATGTTACCTTATATCAATAATAAAAATGAGAACAATCATATTTGACGATCGAAGTTTATAGCAAAATGTATAAACAACACGCACGCTGTTTAGTTGTAAAATCATTATTTTATTCATAAATATATATTAGACACAAAAAAGAATGTAAAAAGAAAACAGATCAAAAATAAAATATAATTGGTGTGCAAAGCTATTCATTTAGGTTTAGGACTTTATTTTTGTGGGTACCCTCAACATGATTAACAAAAAAACATTAATAAAGGGTAACGTTTGTAGTATAGTATAGAATTCACGTGTTAACAAAAGAGTGTTTAAAACGTACCCACGGAATGTTTTACTCTTTCGCTTGAAAGGTATTGGCTACTCCGTCACTATGCTGAGCATGCTGGGCGCCTGGTACTACGGTCCGATAGTGGCATGGATATTGTTATACTTTGTGTACTCATTCTTCCCAACACAACCTTGGTCCACTTGTGACAATACATGGAATACTAATCAGTGTATCGAAGTAAGGGCGGGAGGTCCTGCTGGAACCAACTCCACAGGGAACCTTTCCATACAGACGAATGTGTCAGTAACACATGAAGGATTCTACCCAACCGCTGCCACCGAATTTTGGCGGTATGTAGATTTACGTTATATGCTGATATGAAACACACGAGAAGGTACCATTTGCTGGACAAACTCAACATAGGCATACATGTTCATATTGTTATTTTTTTCATCTTTTAGTAAGATTCACTAAAACATAACAGAAACTTCACTTATTCAGTTAAAATTTCCAGGCGCTACCCAAAGTTCAATTTAAAATTTTTGATGATTTTTCTGCAAACGGCAGCAAGAGGAAGAGTTTTAGCCAGTTTCAGAATGGGTCATATGCGCAAGGTTTTACTACCGATGAAGGGAAGGTGTGAACGACACACTTACTATAGTATTGAACAAAGTATTGATACTATTGTATTGAAGTATTCAAATAATCGAGTCAAGTATACAACGACCTCTGTGATTGGTCGGGGGCGGAGTTTAGACAACCTGAATAGTTGATCTGACACCCAATTTGTTCCGGTAGGCGGAGTTATTGTACACTATCAGTTACATAACAATTACTAAGTAATCGCTGGAAAAATGTCCGACGACGGCAACAGTACGCAAAATTTTATTCGACGAAATTATGTCCGATACGAACGATATGGGGAATCCTGTTTTTGTACAAGGCGATGTGGTTGTGATGGATAATTGTGGATTTCATCACCATAGACAGGGAGAGCGCATTTTAAGAAATATGATGAAAGAATATGGCGTGTCCCTGGTTTTTCAGCCGCCTTATTCCCCGGAATACAACGTAACTGAATATGTATTCAATGTCATGAGACAGAGGCTTCGGGCAAATACCCGACTTGTGTCAGAATTTCTGGAACTTGCAGTAGTAAATGCTCTAGATATTCCGCCCAAGCAACTTCAAAGTTTTTTCACATGTTGCGGATATGTATAATTTTCGATGGAAAGATAAAAAATAAAATAAAAAATATATGTGACCACAGAATTCCTTTATTTTTTAATGCAGTATGAATTATCGGCATATATCAGGAGGTCCCAGGTAATTCGTAATTCTTTGTTACATATAATAGAGCTTGGGCTTAAACCGAAATATTTTAAGCCAACCCTCCCCCTCCCCCCCCCTTTCAAAAAAATAAATAAATAAATAAATAAAACTAGTACAGAATGACTATATGACTATATTCATTGTTAAGATGTTATGAATTCTCCGGTCCCAGTGATCTAACCTGTTGATATATATTTTGTACGTAAATTAGTTTAGTACGGAGTAACTTTCGTTTTCTCGTTGTACCATCGATGGAAAAGCAAGGTATCATTGGGTGTAGAACGAAAAAAATGGGACAACCCAATTAGGTCTGATCTGAAGCCACCTGTGACTTGGATTCTTCCAATTAACCTCTCGCGACAGTCGAGTGTTTGTAAAATGCCGATGTCTGCACAGTATTTTTTCACCTGGCTCCACCCACAATCGATCTAGACTTGGCTCTGCCAATCAGAGAGCTTGTTGCATAAATTTAAGGAATTCGATTGGTGAAGTACTTCAGTACAATACTATCAATACTTTGTTCAGTACTACAGTACTTGAAACGTTCACACCTTCCCTTCATCGGTAGTAAAGGGACTTGGCATTTTTCTTGAAGTTCCATCTTCGCTCACAAAAGGTGTAGGAGAGAAATAAAATATATCTGCTGTATACAGCAAAATCTTAAGAGACCGTTAATCGTAGGGCACCCCCGGTAGACATCGGAGAACTCAAGAATATGCTCTCCTCCTTGTCTTAGTAGACCGTTCGCCCCTCTGAACAAGGCTACGGGCTCTGTCTCCTGTTTAAGTCTTTTAAGATGGTGTTTACAAATTTCGGAATCAAGATCGTCCATAAAACAGGAAGGCTCTGCCGAAACACCTAATTTTATTTTCCTCAAAGTTTTAAAGAGGTGTACCGGTGAATATTCGTTTTCCAGTTACCATCGTATTCGTATTGAATTAAGAACGTATTGAAAAGTCGATATTTTCATACTAGCCCACATAAATATTATATCAGTGTCATCTAAATGCCATTCCATTTCAGCGATATGGTAAAATTAAAGATATCAATAGACCTCAATTCATAATATGTCCCACTGCATTTTTTGAAGAATTAAAGTTGTTTTTTATCACAAGAACATTATGAATTATCATAAATACTGTCAAAAATATTTCATGTATGCAGGTACAAGATACTGAACACTTCGTCTGGAATAGAGGAATGGGGTACCCCGCAATGGCATCTCATAGTGGCCCTCTTCTTCTCATACGCATCTACATTCCTTTGTATAATCAGAGGTGTGAAATCGGTTGGAAAGGTAAAGTAAACAATATACCTTTCTTTAATATGAAACTTTGTCAGAAAAACATCATCGTTGTTCATTATTGTTTAAGTTGTTCGTTTAATGAATTAGATGTCTTAACAATAGCCACGGTTATACAAAGACGGGTGTAGAGAAGAACACCAAAAATGGGAAATAAAGCATAGAACGAAACAGCAGACAGGAAAAGATCATGACATATTGCAATGTTAGCAGTATCTTTTAATGCCCCTTGTTAGAAGACATAGAAGAGAAGAAGAGAGCCCAGACATTAGTTCCCCCTTCCATGAACCATTCTGCAATGTATATATTAGTGTAACGATGGTATTACATTGTAATGCTTGTAACAAGACTGTATTTAAGTCTAACGGCAAAAAAAGAGGTTCTATTTATTGTAACTTTGAATTTCTAAACAGGCATAAATCACTTAATTTATCTAATTTTCAAACAATTAATGGTATGGCATCATCCTTTTTGGTTGATTGTATTTCATATGGATGGTCTCTAACGCAGGTTGTGTATGTCACTGCTCTGGGACCATTTGTTCTTCTGATCGTCATCCTCATTCGCAGTCTGTGTTTGGAGGGATCAATGGATGGCGTCATATTGTACTTGACACCAGACTTCTCTAAATTGCTGTCCTACCAGGTTTGTTGATATTTGCCTTTGAGAATATGAACTCGATCAATTAGGCATGTTGAGGTCATTGTAATGTGCTGTATGATAATTGATTTTCGTGTGAGTACTGTTTATCACCGAAATCATTTGAAAAGTAGCCGCTTTTGTTAACTGATTCATTAACATTATGAGAAGCATATTTGTTATCTACCTTGTTTGTATCTACGTTTTATGTTTGCTATTCAAATATTCCCTATAACGTTTAAATTACTGGTAAACGGTACTTTCTCCTCACAAACACATATCTTTTACAGCAACAAAAAAAAACTCGTCTTGTTTTCATTGTCCCTCTACCAATCTATCCTTTGACTTTAAACATATTTGATATCGTAAGGTTTAAATTGAAAACCTGTTATTAAATGTTATCGCTTTTAAGTCAGAATTAGATTTACATGTATTTTGTTATGAGCGTCGTTTTCTTGTGTTTTATAGCCCTAAATGACATATTGTTGATTGATCGCAATACAATTTATGTTGCAAAAACAAAACAAAACAGCTCATAATCGATTATTAACATGCTACGAACCTTTACCATAATGTACGCTCTAAATCCAGTTGGTTTGCTATAACGTTTTATATAAATTTGTATTTTGGTAACAATCTGACATATTTCCTGATGTAAAGATTTTATGCTAACTGAATATATTAAAAAAAATGTAAGTACAGTAAGAAAATGTGACCAGGCGGGAAGTCGTGCCATCGTGTTCGGATAGTGACATAGTGATAACGTTTTAAAGGAGTGGTTCTATCATACCATAACATTATCTTATTCTACATTAGTATACTGATGTATTTAAATTTTTACTTTTTATTGCAATCAAAAAAAATTTCTTTGATCCTGTTTTCAGATTTGGTTGGAAGCTGCTTTGCAGGTGTTCTACTCGCTTGGGCCGGTTTGGGGTGGCGTAATTACTATGGCCAGCTACCACAAGTTCCGGGGAAATATCATGAGGTAAACTTATTATCATTATTATGTATAAGTGGACAAATTGTACAAAAGAAACACACGTGATTAGTACGTAGAGCCAAACAGTGAATTAATCTGCATCATACATCTGTTTCGTCCTTCTATGACTCGTCAGTGATGTTAAGTTTTAAAGCTTAGAAGCCGACTGAGGAAAAATTCAAAGAGACCGAAAGAAAAGTCAAAATCTCGTCGGAATTATATAGTTTTCTTGGACTTTGATGCCTGAACATCAATTGCATCAATCCTTTGTAGGAAGATTACGATAAAATATTTTAAAAGATTAATCAAGTTTGCGATTTAAATGTATAGATATTGAATTTATAATCATCTTAGGTTCTAAGGTAGAGCATTAAACTATTTTTTGAACATTTTTAATGCTTCTTACATGTAACTGCCCTGAATCCCATGAACTACGTCATTATCATGAGGAATACTTAGAATTAAGAAATTATACTGTCTTCTCAAGATGTTGTCTCGCGTTAACAAATATATAATACTATTTCAGTAATTATTTTATCATACAGTGGTTATCATATTGGTTTATTTGTTTTCAGGGACACTATAATCATTGTAGCTGTGGACACATTCAGTAACTTTTTGTGTGGTTTGGTGGTTTTCTCCATCTTGGGGTTTCTAGCACACGACGCTGGTCTCTCAATCTCCGAAGTGGCGGAATCTGGTTGGTAAAACTAACTCGTCTTACTGTCTACGCATGAAACAATATGTGTTTAAAGTAAATAAGTTTGAACCTATCAAAATGATTCTAGCCGAAGGGCTAAGTGAGCTTACAAAAAGATTAAAAGAAGGAATACTATGGCAAATATACACGCTAGCAGGGTTGAATAGATTTAAACCCCTTGAACCCACTTTTTCTGATGAACCAAAAGGCTTTTGCGTGGTAAACTTTTGACATAATGTTGAATAAGTTTGAAAAAAGAAATGATCTAGACTCATAGTGATGTTCACAAGGGTCAAATATATCAAAATCTAGACTTCTGATTAACCAAAAGGTAAGGAAACATAATAGTTAGCTTGTGGACTATTGGGATGAACCCACAGGCGTCTTTTCGTTTACTAAGTCTTTGATGGTCAATGTTGTGAAATAATGGATGAAAAACATTGTAAATCGATCAGTTGGGAGATGCAGGCCCATTGGATCTCTTGTTGTAATAGTACAGACAGGTTTGGTGAAAATTTTATGTCCCCACACATCAATCATATGAACAGGTTGTCTATGAATGGCGTCTGACATCGTTTGTGGTCACCGTCTTCATATGACCTAAGCTGTTGCTGTGACTATAACCAAGTTTCTAACTCAATATCATTAGTCTTCAACCTACATTAAGTTAAATGTTAAAATGTCAGTTTTTTTTTATTTCGTTGCCACTACATATATCTCTGTAGGACACAAAGAATGACATACATAAAGTACAAATGCAGCGAATAGTACTTGATACATAACATGACACTAGGGAAGAAATAATTCATTGTTCACCAGAATATTTTTCAGTGTAACTTAATATTTTCATTTCATTGATTTTTGAAACTGTTACAGGTCCTGGTCTTGTGTTTCTGGTGTACCCGGAGGTTCTAACTCGTCTACCTTTGCCTCAATTATGGGCCATCCTATTCTTTTTTATGCTGTTCATGGTCGGCCTTGACAGTCAGGTAATGGTCACTTAACAGATAATAAATTCTTTATTGGTCTGTATTTTATCGACATATCCTGTACTGTCACAAGAAGGCTTACACGAATATTTTGCATCCTCCATAAACACACGCACATGTCTCTCACGCACCAGAATGTTACCTTGAATTACCATAGCTATTGATAGGACGTTTAAAAATGTAAAACCAATTATTTAAAAAGTGCCTGTAGAGTTTCATTTGTTTAATATTTCTTCACGATTTTAGATGTTATGACTTTTTTTAACCAATTCATTATAATACTGCTATACATATAAATAGTAAACCAACCTTTCAGGATACACGAAATCATCTAACATATTGAATATCTCAGAAAATTATTGAATTATTTGGTTGCTACGCATCCCTAGAGTGGTTTTGATAAGTTTTCATTCTCATAATATGACTTTTAGATTTTCGCTTTGTCTATGTATCTAGCAACATTGACTAGTCTTGGCTGAACGAAGGAACCGTATGATGTAGTGTCGTTCATTATTTGGTATCGATGCATTAATATATCAAGTTAAAATGAAAGATAATTATCAGGATAATTAGTCGTTACATGGCGGTAACTTCCACGTTTATAGAATCGGGATATCTCAGTCAGGAGACAGAACCCAATTCTTCTTCACAGTGGTGGACGATCAACTAAAGGCCAAGTGTGTGAAAAGCATTGGCGTGCATACGATCGCTATCCAAAGACATGGTTTGATTTAGTCTTGGTCAATATGGGGAGCATTAATCGAGGATGTTTTTTCATGAAAGTTTTACTTTATGCACATGCATAGTCATTACATTATGCTGTTTTGATATTCGTTTTAGTTTGGATCCGTCGAGACGTTTATAAGTGCCTTGATGGATGTTTTCCCAAACACACTCGGCAAACGGAAATACCATGTCATTGGTACAGTGTTTTTCCTCTACTTTTCTACAAGTATTATTTTCTCAACAAACGTAAGTGACTTTGAAATTATACTTGCATACCCATACTTGTTTGTTGAGAAGGCGAAGCATGTTCGATTTTTTGGTCAATGAAGCAACACTACAGCTTGAGGATTAAGAGTGCATTGTATCTTCTGATACCATTCGAAATATTCAGAAGCGGAGGTTAGAAAAAAACATCAACTTTTGATCACTTTGGGTTTCGCTCCGACGCCTCCTGGATTTTTATATTTAGGTCCTCGGCATCGCTGACTGCTGTATCTTCATGTGTATTGTAAGGTGTTATTCTTTTCTTGTCTTTAGCATAGTTTTTGAAGTTGCAGGTATTAGACACTCTCGGTGAACTTTTGTCCCAGTGGCTTACCGTAACCTGTGTTTTTATCTATACGAAGCGTAACTCGGTTCCGAAATTGCACATGTACTTGACACCGCTCAGTCTAGATTTCGACATTTGATTCTAGCTGATTTGAGTTTGCCAGCTTTTTTTTTTTTTTTTTTTGAAAGGTCATGTCCTTAGCATCATTGACGAGTTCTAGAAGGACTGAACAGCAATATGATGCATATTAATTCATTACCGTCGTTGTTATATTTTAATTATGAAATTGTATTGGGTACACCGGGTTTGACTTGTTTTAATTCAATCAAATAGTTGCATAGTTTAACACATAATCGTGTAATTGTCTAATATCAAATATGAGGGTTATGTAATATTCGGGTTGCCTCCTAACCGTTGACAATTTAGGCCACTGTGTGTCTTTCGTATCATTTAAAAAACTTGCCGCTTAATTACAAATAAAGAACAATAGAACCAGTTTTATATGCTTCATTTTGTACACATCAGAGGATAAATCCTATAACCTCCCCTGATTTGATGGACGCTTGACACTAAAACTCAGGTATTGTTTATTGAGACTAGCACTCGTCAGCGATGTTTAAGTAATCAATAGAAAAATCTTAATTTTGACGAGGAGGTGCACTAGTTTGTTAATTATTGTCATATATGAGATAATTTTAGAACAACGTCAAGAGTTTGTACATATTCTGACTCTTTCCACCATTTGATTTAATTAAAACTTGACATGCAAGTTACAGCATACTTCGGGGACTAAGTCCACTAGCAGTGTTAATCATACATGATAACAGTAGGATATTTAGCAAATAGACTTATAATCCCACAAGATTTATTGTTTTCCAGGGTGCAGTGTATATTTTTCAGTTCATCGATTGGTATTTATCGGCATTTATTATATTCTTGGTGGCGTTTCTAGAATGTGTCATAGCTGGATGGATATATGGTAAGACAATTTATGTTAATGCATTTACAATTATCAAGGACTGTCGAAGCAATTGATTTTTTTTTTCTTTTCCTTGTGTTTAAATGTTCCTAATAACTTATATTAAGATGGAAAACAAAGCCATTTCGAAAAGTTTAATGACTAGAGCACGCATTTAAATAAACGTATTTTTCATTTTTGCTGTTTTAGATACTTTTATTTATAAGGGATACTAAAAAAATATTTCACAATTTTGTTCGCCCAAAACAAGACGTTGTATAAAAGACTTGCAGGTGGACTGCATCTTGCAATGCACATTAATTATAAGATAGAAAACGCGACAAAGAAAATTCAATTATTTTCGTGCAGCTGCAATTTCTTCTCAAGACTAGTCATTGAGACCATAAGGCAAACGTTTGAACAAAAATTACACAATTTAGGGGAAAATTAATGCTGACAAACAAATATTAACTACAAATAGGAAGCGCGTCCACCGCATAATCAAATAAAATTCCAAATTTGGTTATGGGTTTGTATTTCTTAACGTCCAATCAACATCTCATTAAATTACGTGTGTATTCACTCTAACGTTAGCATTTCTTAACGTTATTATGTGACGTCATTATAATTGAACGGATTACTGTTCCTATTTCACTAATTCTAAGGATGATCTCATTCGGAATTGTTCTGTAAATAGATACACATTGTCATGATTTCGCTATATTTTCATTACGACGATTGAACTTTTATCTATCTGCAGCAATTATTTGTATGATAAAGACAGCTAAATAAATGAAAATACGAACATGTCAACTTAATCATGATCCAAATTCAAATTCAATAAAACCAGGAAAATAGTAAACAAAGGAATGATTTACACGGAGGTTCCTGAAAAAGGAAAATAAGACCAGGTTTTCCGGAAAAGGAAGCGTCTTTTGCTTCATCGCCTATACCCGCCATGTAAACACTGGTCAATCCAAGTAAGTAATGTCGTGTTCTCATATGAGAACAAGGTATACAACAACGGAACCAACAGACAAACTAACGAGCACCAAACACGTCTAACTTCATATCACACAAAGAAATTGAATTCTTGCACGAAAATCGTGTTAATGGGAACAGGCCATTGAATATAGAATCACAACTGTGACATGTAAATACCATAGTTTGGGGATGCAGTAACATTGCTATCTAGAAATGGAAAATTCAGAAAAGGGTAATTGAAATCATCACATTTTTCATACAGCTTGGCGGAAAGCAGCTGTTCATGTTGGTTTCGTTGTAGGAAAAGACCGAGATATGTAGCTAATGTAGAAGAGGTTGTTGTGTCTTTCCAGATTTCCAGATTTGGTGGATGAAAACGACTGACGTAGTCAATAAATTTCTTGTTATTTAATAACAAGACATCATCAATATATCTTAAAGTAATATTGAACGAAACTGCATTGTCTTAGTGGCCTATATTGATAAGTTCTCTTCAATAAATCCAGCCTTGTATAAAAACAAAACAACAAGTCAGCCAACAGAGAGGCGCAGTTTGTTCTCATGGGTGTGTCAGAAGACTGTTGGAAGATCTTACCACCAAACTCGACGAAGATGTTGTCAGCCAACAAACTAATTAGTTTTATGATTTCATCCTCCGTAAACTTCTTCTTTGATTTGGACGTAATTTTTACGAAATACGCTTCAGTATAGTTTACAAACATATATTTATACTGCCATTCTCCTTTCTAGGAAAAGGAAAGCTCTCCTAAGAGAACGAAGGCTTTCCTACAGTTCAGAATGTGGTATAGTGGTGTACAGGTTGGAAGTCAAATGTTTTTTATGAAAGAAATTTTTTAGAAGCGAGTGTTGAAGTTTGGTCAAATACTGTTCGAAGTTCTTAAAACACACATTCACACACATTGATTCCAATTTTTAAGTAAACAGTATCACAATAAGATTGTAACCCAAATTTGAATGGTGGTTAGTTGTGTTGACAAAGGCTTGGTTGAACAGCAATAAAACGTTGCTTACATGGACTCATGTGGAGTTTAGGAGTCCATAATAAAGGATGGAGGTCTGTATCCTTATCGCTGATAGGCAATCCAAATCCAAATATACAGAAAATCTACTAATGTTTACAGACAAGGATATTGTTATTGGATGCTTCATCTGCGGGCACTGTAACGTACTTGTCATGTAAATCTTATGTTCTTTTTTATTATTATTATTTCAAGCAAAATCGTTTTAGAATGATGGACCGGAAGGACGGAGAAAGTGAATCCAGCGCAGCATATTCTGGCTTCACCCATTATCTTAGTTTTTAACAGAATACATAAGTGTCTTGAAATTCATATTCCATCTAACGGAAGAGGTTTCGCGATATTTCGGACCCTTCATGAAAAGCTCTCGTAGTTTAGTATTTTGAATAATGCTTAAGTTAAGTTATAATTAGAAGTAGAACAAGAACAAAGTAACAGGACGACTAGTTCTAAGTTCATCCGTGAAATATTGCTGATGTTTATAGCATCCACATCCTTGATTGCACAGCCAATTTTCATAAATTGGCGAACCATTGGACGATTGCGGTCATCTAGACAGATAGATATAAAAAAAAGGCTGATTTGTGCCACATCATCAATAGAATCATGAAGTCTCAAATCTAATATCCAAAAGTCGCCAGAGGCTGGTTTTACTGAATCCACTGAGGAATCAAATGTAATGTATTTCGAACATGATAGACACCTAATGGCTTTTTTTGAAGTATCTATCAGATTTTCAAACGTGACGGTATATCCGCTAGCTATTGTAATGTCTGGCTACGATAACGTCTAGCTTTGGGAGTGAATAAAGACCTGACGTAGTAACCAAAGATATATTAGAAATATTTAGAATATTTTAGCAGTCTATAACGTGTCAAGTTCAACCAACAAAATAAAGTAACTTTAACCAAATAAATAAGGCGACGCATACGATACACCTTGACTAAAACGGTTTAACCAAAATAGCAGATGCGCGAAGTTTCCTGAAAACGCAAGGAAAGAGGGCAGTTATATACCGACGGGTATTTAAAGAATTGTAACAGTGACCCTGGCTTTTATATGTTAACTATCGCTCATCACTAAGCAGTGATTTGTATTAATATGGAAAGTACTAATATGGCATAGTCATTACATTGTCTCGGTCATGGAACAAACCATCTCCATTGGATCAAAACACCTGTCAATTATGAGGCAGGAGAGGTATAGGGGATTCTGGTAATACCAGCGAATCAAAAATCCAAGTGACAATACGGAAGTAGAAGCCAGGAAATAAATATCTCGTGTATTTTTGCTGGTGAATTAGGTCAAGAAAACTCAAATGCAAATTCTCAGATTTTGCGCTAACATGCAACAATTGATTAATGTCATTCCTTTACCTTAAGGTGCTGAGAGGTTGAGTCGCGACATCCAACTGATGACTGGGAGTTCGGTTTCGGTCTTTGTCAGGATTTCATGGGGTTTCATAATACCATCTGTGATGCTGGTACGAAACAATTAATATTTTCATGCCCTTTTACACCTGTTGCGCGTAACATGGTATCGTGAACAGTATGAAGTCAACAGGTAGTCTTAAATCCACGAACCAAATTTTTTTTAAAATAGCAGAATTAATGTCTGAGGCAGTATTTTCCTGATTTCTATTGTGTCTTGTTCCTTAACATGTTAAAGAAGAAATAATTTAATATGAAAATATTGTAATCGATGAAGTAAGGATGTTTGTAGAAACAGAGTTCTGAAGAAGTTGGATCAATTTTAGTTATTGTGATGTTCTGATGTTCCTTGAAATTGTTTCAATTTTAGTTAAATTTTGATTTCATTATTTTTTTTCAAAATTCATATTAACATATTTAATTAAAAACCTTTCAGATTGCAGGCATAACTGTAGCAGTGAAATTTGAAAGACCTGTTTACCGTGGATACGTTTATCCTGCTTATATCAGTGTAGCTGGTATGTTTGTTGCCTTGTTATTGGTTATACCAATACCCGTTGTCATGGTAAAACGGTTGTTAGAAAGACCCGGCTCGTTCGCCCAGGTGAGTAAAACAAATTATAGTTTCTGAATGATCATAGCCATATACAAATTATATTGGGGTCATTCAAGTGTCGTTGTATAGTATCATTCTGTTCAAACGTACCTGACGCTAGAATTACCAAAGAATCATTTAACGTGGATGCGAGATCGTATAGCATGAAAGAAGGACAATTAGTCCGATCATATTATACTGACAACGGGCTAATCATTTTATAATAAACGTGAATCAGACACCAGATACCACTATTCTTAGTTCACTGTTTAGGAACACAAGGAATTGTGTTCATTTGATTACTTATTAATACCAGAAGAGAGTGGGGAATACACTATTGTATTAATACAAGTTCAAAATGTTTTACAATACTGAAACTAACTATCGGTTGTTATTGAGGAAAATATCAAGCCATTTCCAAGTACTGAGAAGTGATAACATGAATAACGAGGCACAAAACGGATGAATGTGATATATTTTCAGAGACTCAGAATGTCGGTGGTGCCATCTCCCGACTGGAGACCTCATGATGAGAAAGAACGCTTAACCTACAAACAGTACCAATATAGAGGGAGTATATGGCAAAACTTGAAAACTAACATGAGAGGTACAAGCAAGTAGTTGAAGCAATTTTCTTAATTTCGAGATAACGAATAAAAACGCGAGAAAGGAATCTGTGTAATAGAAAATATCATTAAATATCATAAACCCATATATTGTTTGTTAGTTGTTTGGCAAACACTTTTAAATTATACTTTATTTATTATACAATAATTGCGAAACAAGTTTTTCCAGCTAATATCAGTCACTTGTTGGCACTATGGAAATGCGCGTTGGTCTTATTTTGGGAGAAAACCGGAATATTCGGCACGAGTTTAAAGTATACTCTTTTCTTGTGTGTTAAGAAAAACATCGCTGCTGATAAAAAAAATCTTGGACCAATATTCCACTGAAGATATTGATCTTGTCTCAATCATTTGGTCGAAAATATATATAGATATATTCGATGGACAACGTAAACCTTTGTTTTAGTACTATATGTGTGTTCTTCAACAGTTTTATTTTATCGAATTATGATAACCTGTGACTTTTCATATGCTCGCAACAATGCTCTGTGATGGTCAAACGGAGAATGGTGCTAATAAGATCCCACTAACCGTGTATTATAATCAATTTAGCCGATCTCATCACAACAATCTCAGGCCACAACAGATCATACCCTTCCAACAGCTGATGCTATATTATACAACAAATGTATAGAGTCATCCAAGCTGAAAGATGACAAGCCCATCTAGTTTATCTAACATACAGCAACTTTCAGAAATCGCACTTTCCATAAAGACCGGGCCATTAGATGATGGAACTAAATATGGAACTTTCTCATTAGGTACAATAACATCTCATTCTGGTTTTTTAACTGACACCAAGACTGCAGTCATCACATTTTAATATTGATTCCGTTCTTATTTTTAATCGCCACCTGTCCTGTCCTTCGGTTGAGATGAAGGCAATATGACCAAATCTGGTTAGAATCATCAATCATCAGTGGAGGAAGCTGAACCCATTCAGTATAATGGATGGGTATTCGCCCTCCAGGATGGAACCAAAATATGGGAATTTATAAATCTTTTCTGTTCCGTCTTCGTCCAGGATTCTCCATCAATATTATCACACTTCTGTCTTCTTGAAAACTACTGCAGTGCCTCATTAAAATCACTCAGAAAAGGTTCATTTGTAATGATGAAGTAAAGTATTAATCTTAAGATTAAATACCAACCACCTAAGGGGTGGGGTCAAATGAGGAATATTCTCTAATTTTAAAAGTCTTCTCCGGACCCAAATACTTTAAAATCAAAGACTCTTCATTAATACTCTGTTGGGTACATTTTTTCAATGAGGTATGATTCAATCCTGGTTAGGACCCTAATATGCCAAAATTATCAATTTCGTTTATACATATATTTCGTATCCCTTTAAGGACGGGGTACAAACAATAATGGGGTATATTTGAATCTTTACGACAACAACTACTTCTTACTTCACTGATAGCTATTGTCTTCAGATAAGCTTTTGCAATTTCAGAAAATAGGATTATCGTAGGACTCACGTGACCGTTAATGCCCATGGGTCTCTTGTTAATACGACGCTAATCAGTATGAAACCAAACCAAGCTATAAAAGTCACATGTCCGATTCTCTTCAAACTTACAAGTTTATGGACGTCAGGGGAATTAGCACCAGCTTACACTGTCCTTCGATTCCACTTGTTATCAAATAGATACGGTGCCGTATGTAATTGATTCGACCTAAATATTTCGCACAATAAAATGGAAAAATGTATTTTTCATTTCGGCAAATTAAGATAGGTAGTTTGATTGAGTAATATCAAAATGCTCATGATCAGAAAATACTTTGTTTATCTGTCATATCGTTTTAAGAATTGTATATGTTTCTACAATGAAAACATCTGTAAATACTTTTTACACGCCACTTTTTAGGCAATAAAGCCTTACCCAGTATAATCAAATAAAACTTCAATCCATTCTTGAAAAAAATGGTGAAACTGACACCGGGAAATTGAAAAATCAAATTAAATCAAATTTGTTGAGAATTTACGCTTTCCATCATGAATTAGTTAAAAATAAATAGTGTTGATGATATCCAAATCAGTGTCTATTTCACTGGTAGTTCTATAAGTAATTGTGTAATCGTTATCAGATCATGTAATCACGGAATTGCACGAACGATCTTGACTTTTTACATTCTCATATTTTTTAATATCATATTGCAGAAGTTAGTTTTAAAGTTGCTCATAACAGCTTTTACTCGAGAAAAATGATTGAATTATGAAACGTCTTATGATAATATTGATGTGATAATGAATACAGAGAATAAGTTGATAAAAGTACTAGTGACAAGGTATCCTTATAATTACAAAACAATAAATTAATGTTTCACTATATAATAAAAAACGGTTGAAAACCGAATCAAAAGCGGCCAGCCTAACAGATATTGACGTGTAAAATTTACATCTATCCTTCTGCTACATTTAACATTAGCGTGACTCGCACTAAATGGGATCCAATGGGCTGTGACATCAAAAGTTCAAAATAAATAGAAGAGAACAGATATGTCATACGACGTCAGTGTTTGCTTTAGTTCTAGTGTTTAAGGAATCATATCATGCTGACAGCAATATGTAGACGATATTCAGACATATAAGAATAACAAAAAATCCGATATTGAGTTAAATTGAAACCAAACATAGGACTCAAGTTTAAGAGAAAAAGGACAGGCACGTCTCTAGGCACTGATGAGAAATCTATCGAATAAAAACGATTTTTGAAAGAATTTAAACAGAATACCTCACTGTGATGTTGATGATTCTTTATTGGTGCTGAAATGTAGGTTTACAGTCATTTAACTTACTCTACAGTGAGAACTGTTATTCCATATAATGTCGTTGAACCTTTACCTTTTCATTGATATTCAGTATCTAATTCAAGATAAATAAGGGGAATAGTATTTGAAATTGCCAAAGAAATATTCTTGAAATATTTTTTCTCATACCTATATTACGGGATGGTGATACATTTGCACATCTGAAAGGTGGCGTTACTTGTGTAATTGACCTGTTGTACATTTACCGAATACAACACAGTAATTGATCGAATCTAAATTCCCTACCGTTTTCAATTAATGCTCAAACTCATCTCACAACCTTTCTGTCAAACGACGATAAAACTCTTTTTTAACAAAATAATCTAATATTATAATGATGACGGATTAGAGATTGAGTATTCCAGTAACAGAAGTGTCAATATTCAACAAGAATGAAGCAACAAAATGGAATCTCACTCAGCCAAGTTCACATGGACTTTATTTTAAAACAAACAAAAATCGGTCACGATTTGTCCCCTTAAATGTAAAATATTCTGTTGAACGTAATTAGCACCAACTTTTCCAAAATCAATCCTGTGTTCTGTCATCTTCACAAATTCATGTAGATTTTTCATGTAGTGGTAATTGTAAAGGTCGCCAGTGTAATTGAGATGAAATTCCTCAGCCATCTCGAGAATAACAACCCTGCTGTTTTCTAACTAGAGGAAACAATCATTAGGAAACATACCAACATAAATATTGAAAGATATTTCTTTTTAATGTTTTTGGCCCTGAAGCTAACAAAGTAATTGGTGAAACTTCTGTCCTTGATAATAACATGCCAGAGTGCTATACTATTACAAACAAAAACAAGTAGTCTCTGTGAATGTTACTCTTTATAGAACGTTACCAATATGCCCAATATCCATCCCACCTAACTCTCATCCGTCCAATACTAAGTGAAACAATCTGCATAATTTCATTCTCTAAGGCGATTTTGCTGATCATGACAACGTTTCGGGTTCGCCCGATACCAATGAGAGGAAAGAAAACTTCATAGTGAATGAAAAAATGAATGATTTTGAAACTTTTACATATTTAGACTTTGCTTAATGTCACTTGAAATGAGGTTTAGAATGTGAAAAGTGTATTCACGGCGACAACAAAAATTAAAAACAAAAAAAAACAAAAACAAAAACAAAAACAGAAGAATGGATGCTTAGTTCACCTTACACTTGGATAAGAAGAAGTAAAAATCGATATATTGTGCTCCAACCAATTTTCTGTTTGTAAAGACAGACCTATAGTGCGGTATTCGAAGTGGACGGATGGGCGGACAGACTGATAACAGTATACCACTTACTTCGTGGCCGCACAGGGATATTTTTAAAACAAACTGAAATGAAGAAAGGTCTTTGAATGTTGAATCAGCTGCGACATGTAAAGAGGTAGTGGAAGTAGGACTGTTGCTGTCCAGAAACGGAAAATGTATCATGCTCCTCGTGCACCATAATGTTCAGCTGTCTCTGTGGTTTTCGTTGAAGAAAAAGACTGAGGTACATGTTTTAAAAAACCAGATGGGTAACACCCGAACATCAACATTTAGTAATTTTCATAATCTTTATTATTAACTCAGATCGTCATATTCTGAATCGTTCCACGAATCAAATGAATCAAAACGTGGCATACTGGTTATGGAAAACCTCGACCTCCACAAGCCCTGTTTATTACCTGCAATTTCAAAAATTCTACCAACAACTCGCAATCGAATAGCTCTTGTGTACACAAATTTAGAAGAAAAAACAGCATAACGAAACAATGAATCACACTGCATCATGCTGCTGCTTCGTCTTTCTAGGACTCGTTAGTGATTGTTAGTGATTCGCTCCATTTATCTGCTTTAAAAGATTTCGTCCGTCTAATAATCATTGATATTAATAATGTTAGCCATATCCTTACAAGATTCCAGCTATCCGGATCCCAGGATCGTCCTCAGCAAGAGAATGACTACCACATGTAATGTTCTCTATTTCAATGTAGACGAATTCGTTGTCAGGTTTATCAAAATACAATTCATTCTTTTTTGCAGTCACTTGATTACGTAGTAAGTTCAACAACCGTTGTGTTTTGTCGAAATACTTGAAATGTTACCTCAAACCTTATAACAGTGTTCAAAAGTAGCATTTGTATTTCCACAGACACCGGATCAGGTAGCGGAGTAGTGAGACGTAGTTACACTCGAGATATTGAGTTCTTGCTGTTCATAAACATCAGCACAAACTCTTTTCCTACGTCATTATCCTGCAAAAGTGACAAAAAGGTATTTGTTTGTCTGAACCAATTTGCAAGGCAACTAGCAAGTGATAATGTCATTTGTATAAAATTACTTTTGGCAACTTTACTGGTAAACAAACAAGATCGTTATCTCGTCTTGGGTTATAACGGTTCCAGAATATGATTGTAAAAATAATATCAGCTAGGTAGTAGTTTGAAATCGATTTCATCAAACTCGAATAATACGATATTCAGCCCACTCCGTGTCAATTATTATGATATTTTTACCATATTCTTTAAAAATTCGACTGCGTTAGGCGTCACAGATCCGTGGCAAGTTTGTCTTATGGGTTTACTACACCGTACTAGCCTCGTATGAGGACTAAGACTGGAATATAAAACACAGTTAAATGATCATAAAGAAATGAAAATATACGTAAAAAGGTTGCAGCAGATCTATTTGGATATAGGCACAATAAGTCGGCTATGATCAAGTAAGGACAATACATATTGGTTTCTCCTTAAGCCCCCTTAACAATACAGTTGAATGAGTGTTCCACAGTTGCCAACACCCATTAAAATACAATAAAGATATTCTTTCCCCATCTCATGAACAGTCTCCGTGCCTAGGTGGATCAAAGGTCACGATACTAGAAAATGGCCGACGGTTTCCTTAATCGTCGTTTTAGTTTCAACGGAAGAGAAAGAACAGTAAGATAAAACAGGAAAGATAGGACACGATATACCTGCAATATTGCGACTGGGTCCGTAAACCAGTTTTAATCTCTTCTTCAAAGGATGACGTAACACACCTGCTTGGTAGACTAGCAAAACCTTTTACAAGGAATATTGTCCTTTTACATTAGCAACGAATATCGAGCCAATCAAGGAGACTATAGGACCCTTTTATAATCAACATGAAAAGAAACTAATTAAAAGGTTTGTGTTATTACATCAATAAATGCAGAAGGGGATTTTTTTCACAAATAAGATTTTTTGTCAACATCCTATATGAAATTCGGAATTTTTATTATAGATAGTCAGTACAAGCTATCATCCTAATTAAGAATACTGCGGCACAATTTAAAAGTATGTAAGTCGCAATGCAACTTATCGACATCAGTATGATTTGGCTTATATTCCTTACTGCAGTTTCCAGAACCGCAGCTAATTTTATGGTGCATTATACTGAAATAAACTACCAAATATACTGACAACGGCTGAACAAGTCGTTACAGGCATAGCATTATGCTAAACGTTAAGCCGGAAGTTGTCACTACTCTGGTATGTCTCGTCCACCAACATTAGAATGCTAAACGTTAAGCCGGAAGTTGTAACTGTTTTTGATATGTCTCGTCCAACACCATCAGAATGCTAAATGTTAAGCCGGAAGTTGTAACTTTTTTGATATGTCTCGTTCCGATTACATCATTTTTCATTCTTTATTAGGATATTCTGCACAATGTTGCAATTTTTTGGTTGTTTTGTACTGTTAAGGCTCTTTCTAGTGACTTTAAAACTATTATCAGCATCAAAATATATCTCCTAAGCTCAGGTCAGTTTGTTTAGGAAAATTGGATGGAAATATCTCTACCAATATAACGAAAGATTGTTTAAAACAGTACATCGGGAAATCCGGACCTCTGATTGGATCACAGACTTCATGGGAAGCGTTTAGTAGATACTTACTGATATCATATTAATAATAACATATTTAACATATAATTTCTGCTGGTATTGGAATTCTCTTGCTTTGTCTTATTTCTTGTCGATTTTAAGATACACACAAATATTTCAATCTGTCTGGCTCATTAAAGTTAAACCTGTTGTGGCCAAGTCATGGTAGGGCTAATGTTTGTAAATTGATCAACCTACATCTATGTAGAATTGCCCCAAATTATATATCGTTTGTTAGTTTATATGGGGGAGTGAGGTTTACAGTTTCTACATCTGGAAGTTTTTTTTTTGTGATTTTTTAAAAATATATAACAAGCACGATTTCAAATCCTAAGTTGTGTTGAATATCCCTTTAATATTTTTTATGTACACACCGTTTGTTATTTACTTTTGCTGGTTAAATAATCTGATTTTGGTGATTTGTTTTACCATCTCAACCCGTATTTTTTTAAAAATAACTATGTTTGGGTGTATACGGTACAGATAGAACAATGGTTTGGCGCTAAAACAGACTTTTTAAGTATAAAGAATTCAATGAAATACCCTACAAAGTCCTGGAATAGTCAACCTTATAAATAACCCTAATCTGAAAATGAGTCGGTTTTCTCTAACAAATAAAACTGGTTTCAAATTACGTCATGTTTAAAAATAAGCCTTACTGGCTCGAGAGTTGTTTATAAGCCTCATCTCCGTTGTATTTGTTCCTTTTGTGAAGAAAATATGACAAAGCGGATCTACTGGTTAGGCGACATAATGCACCGAAAGTTAACCTCAATTAAAAAAATAGCCAGCTTACGATCGGTGAAAAATAGCATTTATCTTATTGTCAAGTTTCTAGGATATATAACATGTCCGTATGGACATATTTTGCCAGCATTTCAAACCTTGGCTATACCAATTGATCTCTCTAAAATCAAATAACACGTGTCCACAAGATTAAGGGCTGGTGTTGATGGCACAAAAATTTGGTGTTATAACAAAATATGGCAAGAGAAAGAAAATAAATGAGATCCGAAATGTCACCGTGTCAATTGTTGAAAGGCGTTAGATACAAACACTACATAACGTCTATGATACTCACATCGTGCAAACACAAACCCACAGCTTGTCCAAAGGTAATGGTTGCATCACTGACTGAGCAGGAAATATTCACTTTCTGTTACTAATCATGAGTTAAATCATGACTGGTTACGAATTCGTGAAGATAATAGTACAGAAAGAGTCAATAAGCAACGTCACCATTAATTAAGACATTTTAATTATGGGAAATAAAAACGAACTCATACTCAAAGTCGGTAAAATGGGGCAAACTAAAAAAGAAAGTTTTACAAGGGAAGACATTAAAAGTGTCAGGACAATTAGAAAAGGTATAACCTGCAGTACAAGACAACTGAATTGCCAGCCTATTAAGATATACGTCATCGCGAATTGGGTCTAAGTGTTGTACATGCTGTCGTCATTACATTATACGAAGAAGGAGGCTAAATCCCTTTTATTACGACATTTCAGTGTGATCGTACTATAAAAGCGCTCTCATGGTCAAATGAATCCGAAAGAGAACTCATAATTCAAATTAAATATGGAAAAATGAGTGATAAGCCTTTTTCAAATTATTATTGTCTTTGTGTTAAGATTATGTATACTTTCGACCATGTTTGATTATTGTGTGCATGGATTTGAAAAATACCCGTTAACTCTCCTTGTGGTGCATTTGAAGGGGAATTAAAAGAAAGATTATTATCGAAGTATGAAAAAATTACTGCAGAACAATTCCTCTTCTTCCTTATATCTCCACATGTGAAAATTAGTTAACATATGTTACTTTTTGTTATTGTTACTTTGCATTAAATGGGATGTACAATGTTTTCATTGGCCTGTTTCAATACAGAGGGATTGATTGTGGAGCAAGGCCGCCGTTTCCAGATTATGACATCCAGTGGAATAGTATTACAAATGTATTTCTGTTTGTGGCTCCATCATCAAACTGTTTCCATTTGTCACCTTACATCTAACGCCCACACCTTTAATGTTTTCATAACCTCGCAACAATATCGTATAACAATAAAGGGCTATTAACAGTGTAGATAAAAACATTTGAAGTCTCACAACGATCACACGGTATAACGATTGAAGTCATAGTTTTGTATCTCAAACTATAGGGCCACTCATTGAAATGCTATAAAGGAGTCACTGCTGTTGGATGGTGGTACATTTCTTTAATCGCATGAGACATCCAATCATTTTAGTCCTAGGAAGACGAAACAGTCATCATATGAATAATTTGGGCACGAGTAAATGTGCTGGGAATGCTGAAAGGAAGAATGTGATAATGGAAATGAATCGAGAAATTGCGGACCTTTATTACTGTATATCATTTGTATAACTGTATATTATTTTTTGACTGTGTAGATCATCATGTTTTAATTCAAAAGTTGAAACTCTACCAGTGCAATGATCTAGCGGTGAGCTGGTTTAAATCCTATCTCATCAATAGACTACAGAAAGTATGTATTTCAGGTAAATTGTCCCAAAGCCTGATTATTACTCATGGAGTCCCTCAGGAATCTATATTGGGACCTCTTTTATTTTTAACTTTTATAAATGATCTTCCCTTAGAAATACAGTGTAAAACTGATATGTACGTTGATGACACAACTCTATCAGCTTCTGATTCTTCTATTTTAAATGTCCAAAATAAATTACAATGTGACCTAAATGCAGTCGAAAACTGGTGTAATGAAAATAGAATAATTATTAATGCTGACAAAACAAACTGTATGGTTATAACCACAAAGCAGAAGCATAATAGAAATTATTATGTCTTGTATCTATTTTAAAAAATACAGAGATTGACCAGGTCCCGTCTGCTAAACTGCTGGGTGTGAAAATTGTGTTTATGCTGGGAAGAACATGTCAACTATGTATTAAGCAAACAAAATAAAGGTTAGTGTCTGCTGAGAAGAATTAAGAAATACCTTCCAATGAACGCTAGAATCAAATATTGTAATGCATACGTTTTTCTCCGCACTTCCTGTATTGTTCATTAGTCTGGAGCGGATGTTCAAAAATTTGTCATGATGATATTTATGCATCCTGTGATATTCCTATCCAAATTGTTATCTGTGATACCTTGCTTTCTTACTACATGTTTACTATGTATATACAATATGTAACTTTTATTTAACACATATATACTGTATTTTACTAACAAGAGGACCATAAGGAAGAAAAGCCGTTGGCTAAATATGTAATCCTTACAAAATAAAGTATATTGTTATTATTATAACTGTATATTATTTATATAACTATATATTCATTGTGTTCCAAAATAGTTAGCACGCAATTCAATTATGACTGGAATCGTGAAAACATTTTGATTCAGGAAAAGTTCTTTCCATACATCTATATTAAGTTACTATAAACATGTTGTTATTTGTTGATGAAATCATGTTTTCATTTCTTGGATCAAAAATGATATTTGTTATCACATTTTCAATGCAAACTTTCATCCATATAAAACTATGTTTTGATTTAATTTGATTTTTTATTATATAAAACCTGTAAATTTCTATTACAATGTACATTGATCTGCTAAGGGTAGTTTTCCTTGGATTTGATTGGATATAAACTACGTATGAAAGGGAAAAAATTTCGATCAGAAAGATATATTGAATGGAAAAAGAATAAATGAAAATATCGGAAACAAAACATAAGAGTGTACTACGTTCATTGATTCCACAAATTACTGACAACAAACCTAGTACTTTGAACATCATAACTTGTCCTTTGTGTAATATGAGATGGGGTGTCCTGCCAGGAGCCTTCGGCAGTCTACTTTAATGTCGTAGGACTATAAAATCAGTATCGCTTCCACATTATCACAAGGAAGCTTTCACGTACAAATAATATAAAATTACATAAATATTATATAACATCCTATCTAGAACTAGCAACACACTTCGTATACATCGAGAGGGCGTGCTTAAATGACCCTGGGTGTTGGTAGGACGTTAAACAATATAAACGAAATCAAACTTTTATGTAACTTCTCTTTACTACTTAAATGTTAACAAGCCGTCAAATTCAGTCGCTGTTTGTGCATACTACATACACAACATTCACATACCGATAGGTAGTGTCTCCGTTTAGAATTAAGCAAACCATCGTCTTTTGTTAAATATTCGCGCAAAAAAAACAACATCCTGCACGTCCTTACAGGAGTTATTAAAGGCCACAACAACAACAAAAATCCAGGTTTCAGGTTATTGAAGAGCAGTGTTTTTACTTGGGGATATTAAATTCCTTAAGGACTAGCTCTAAAATTGGTGTGTTGTCATGGTCGTCATAGTGATGTTTAGTGCTTTAATTAAAATTCAGTCCACAGATGAATGTTGAGTGTTGTTTTTCATAATTTATTATAAGGAAGAAATTGCATATTAGACAAAATGATATAAAGTCATACTGAACGGCTTAAAAGCCAGCTGTAGTAATATTCCATATCATGACATTCTGCTGTAGCACCTGCTGAGCTGCGTGAGAGCGAGTACTTTACAGTGCCGCTAACACAGCAGGCAGTAGTCTCAGGATATCGTCAGACCATAAGGGGTGACAATGCATTCTTATATCGTTATCAAAGCAAAAGCCCTTGAAAATGGAGTTAAGTGTAATGTATCAATAATAATGTGGTTTGAATGATTTCATCATCATTTCTTTACAAATTTGCTTTTGGAATAAACAGGTACGGTAATATGCATGTCTACGTTTAGAACACTGTACTGTTAGCAATATGACAGACAAGGAGTATTCTGCCAATTCATCTGCTACGGTCAGTATGTACATGAGGTGTTTCACAACTAAACAACCGGATATCGTTCCAAATGGAACTTTTTTGATAATGGGTGATTCTCAGAGTTGTATACCTGCCGTCTTACATGGAACTGAGGATTACTCTCCATTATACAAATGTATTGCATTTGTAGTGCCTCTGTTTATATTCGTTATAGGAATGCTTGGAAATATACTGGTAATCGTTGTGATTTCGCGTCGTAGAAGTATGCAGACTCCGACCAACTGTTATCTCATAAGTTTGTCAGTGGCTGACTGTTTGCTTCTCTTGTCCGCAACGTTACCAGCTATACCACAACCCTTCTTTCGGCGGAACCACTGGCCATGGGGAAGGGCCTTGTGTTCTCTTCTCGTTTTTGTGCAATACCTTGGTGCCGACGCGTCGGCTCTTTCCATTACAGCATTCACGTTGGAACGGTACATCGCAATATGCCATCCGATGAAAGCACAAACAATTTGCACGGCTCGAAGAGCCAAGCGTATAATTATCTCCCTTTGGTGCTTCTCTGTGCTCTACTGCACACCATGGCTCGGACTTACAACCATGACTTACCGAATGGCATGCGACGGATCGACGTCCCTTCATAGTTGTACCTACAGACTCGAGCGAGAATCATACCTTTTCTATTACATGACAGATTTTTTTATTTTCTATATATTTCCGTTACTTTTGTCTGGAATTCTGTATTCGTTTATTATCAGGATACTTTACAATAAGTCCGGCTTGGATTCGGACGGAAGCAAAGCTCCTGATTACTCTAACAATCGATCACGTCAAACGTCCAAATCACGCTACCAGGTATGTATGTCAATGTCTAGTTCGTATACATAAATCGACTCAATATAGTATAGGAAAATGAATAAATAATGGACCAGTAGGAAAGCTGACAATTTCATCAATCATAACCCGTCGATCGATGAAAAAATCATAACCAGAACAAAATATTTACATGGAGACCATTGAAAATGTAAAATGAGAATGATATACCTCCCCTACACATGGAGGCCTCCTTATTTGGCCATAGACGTTAAGAAGGCTATAAGTAATATAAAAACCAAATTAATAGTAAGTGTTCCGGAAGGGCAAGCGTCTTAATATAATGAAAACGGTCCAATAAAGTTATGCAATTCTAAATACATTCAGATGCGTTTGTAGTAAGTGCAGAATAACTTTTAAAAAATCACGTGATAATCTAGGGTAGCAGACATGAATTGAATATCAGTAAACCTAAATAGTACAGGCTGTCGATGAATCTAAAGAAGGACTCGTCAATGATTTTAAAGGCGAGGAGTCAACTAAGGTAATCCTATTTAATCGAAAATAAGGTAATTGAATGATAGGTGGATTATAAGGGAAAAAACAATGTGGAGAGGCAAAATTTTCATTTGATTTTAAGAGCTTAAATCTGCATAGCATTCAAGCAAATTTTTAAAATAACTTAAATCGATCATATGAATATTTTCTAAAATTTAAATTTTTAAAAGAGGAATATTTAAGAATAGTTTTCACGATTTAAAAGTAGGGGCCATTGTGCTTAATGCTTTGCATTTTTTTTACCCAAATAACATTTTTTTCATAGATCGAAAACCCGGCTGAATTTATAATTTCTTGTCCTCAAATTCAGGAAAGTGGCCCACAAAGTCAAAATTCGTTTTTTACATCTGTTGATTGTGTTGATATTTTTGTAAAAAGTTGAAATCTACCCAAGAATTCCAGAGCTATACTCAACAAAATGTCCTTAGCAATAAAAATTCGTTGTAATTATTTAAAATTTTCAATTTCTACAAAATGCCATTTCCAGCAGCTTATTTCAGTTTACAAGTATAGCTTAGGTTACAAAGTAAATGAAACTGTAAAAAGTGAAAATATTAAGCAGGAACCTTGAATTATTTTGCTGTGAGCGTTGTCAATGACGCAAAAGCGAGGGAGAATGGGAAAGAACAGTCCTGCTTTATCTCACTGCTATTGTAAGACGCGATTACTATACAGCGGATAATTTTCACGTAGTTTTATTTTGGCGATCTGATGGGTTAACATGTCGGGAGTATCTCCTCTGATGGAAGATGGAGAGACCATTGTGCGATCGGAGGAGGCAACTTAACGTGAGCCTTTTGTACATTGTTTTCCACTCCTGGTGTCTGTCTTGACATCCGTACTCGAATAGCCCTGACTGTTGCAAAGACGTTCAACCTGGTAAAGTAAAGGAATATAAAATCGTTCGTCAGTTATCCAATCAGCATTAGATACTTATCTTTATATGGTTTAAGCTGGTGTGGCGAATCTGAGCTTATTCGTACTGCAAAAAAAAAACTTTAAAATAACTATTTTCACTATTGTAACACCTTTTTTTCTTTTCATCCAACCTCAAAATCAGCTTGATATGTTATTTAATTATACAACCCACTACCCAATATAAAAAAGCTGATTTTATTTGATTGGCCAGTAAAGATAAACCAATTATCAATCGCCGTTTTAACGGGAATTAATTTGATCTAACCCGCTCGGAAATACAAAAATCAGCCACGTGTTAAACAGCAGTTACATTGTGGTGTGATGCTTGTAAAATCGTTAGCTCCGGCATTAGCCTACCTTTCTACTATAATAGAAGTTAAGGACAATTTTCATCAATTCTCTCCCTCTATATCCTCAAGGGGATATAGTGGCGCTTGATATCTGTCTGTTTATATAAATTTTATGTCCTTTCAACAGCCAAACGCATACGAGGTAGTCCTTATCACACCGTAGAATATTAAGAAAGAAAACAAAAAAGGAGACAAAAGAGAAAATGGACCGAAGGATTTTTTTTTCAGTGTTTGCTTTAAATGGAAGTAAGAGAGAAGGAAATACGTAAATAATTTCTTATGTTGCAACTCTGGAGATTTTTTGTATCATTAGTATGGTTTGTCTGCCCTTGCTTTCGTCCTTATTGAATTCTTGCTGTTACGAGCACGCCATGAGAAAAACCAATACGTTGTGAAATCTATTTCTCACACTGTGTAGAACGCATAGGAAGAACATTTCGTATCGAATTTAAAGATAGCAGATGACATTGTTGTACCAATCTAAATATGTAAACATTACCCCTTACAGGTGATACGCATGCTGGTGGTGATAGTAGTGGTGTTTGCGATGCTGTGGCTACCGTACCGAGCTATAGTGGTATATAACTCTTTGGCAGACCACAAATACCTAAACGTCTGGTTCTGGCTCTTCTGTCGCGTCATGGTTTACATCAACAGTGCAGTCAACCCCATCCTCTACAGCCTCATGTCGCTCAAATTCAGGAAGGCCTACCACCGGATACTCTCATGCAGTGAGTAGGCTTCCATTCTATTCCACCATCTACATGGCATTATAACTGTGTAAACGGCTGAATAGAACATAACGATTACGACAACATGCCTGTGACACGATGTTTTATTGAAATTTTACTGTGAAATGACTTGATTACTTTTGATTTGGTGCCGTTCAAATATTCCCCGTCCTAAAATGACTTATATGATATTTTCTTTAGATGAACGTAACTGGAATTGCAGGTTTTATGTAAGCTTTCGGCTTTGATCGAAGAACTGTGCGGTTTGTTAAGCGGTAAATTTACTTTATCAAATGGTGCTAGATAAGGGTAAACAAACTGTTATATGTATGAGAAATATTACCAGTAACTAGAAGTAATTCAGACCAGCGTCTAACGTTTTTCTTTGTTATCCAATTGTTAGGACAAGTGTGCAGCAGATTAACAAATATTCGTACCCTTATTTGATCAGTGGGGAACGTCTGGGGTCATCGACATGCTAAAGTAACAATCACTTTGACAATCAAATCAATTGTACAGATAAGCATCAAGTGTTTTTTTATGGTTGGCTTTTTGAATACACTATATTTAAACAAAATGTCACAAACTGAACACGTACCAGGAATATGCATCATCTCACATACTGCCAACGGCTTTACCAGTCCAAACCTGAACTATTTCAAGGAACATGTTCTTAGCATCACACATAAAATAAATCGCCCTCACCAAGACTCCAAATGCTGCCAATTTATAAATTTCTTTGTAATAAATCATGATATGGTCTGCCTGTTTATGGACAGAACATTCATTCCTGCAAGTCTTATGAGACTTTATTAGGAAACATCAGGTAACCTGCTAAAAACACATGTAATTTGTGCGTTAAGACAAAAGAAACATATTAAATGTTGCAATGAGTGCAGACGTCAAAACTTCCGGGTCATTTGATTGTGTTTATCTAGTAGTAACATTCATGTCATTTAAACATTTTCGTGTGTTCCAACAGAAGTCACAACTTCCGGGCCATTTGATTGAGTTCATGTATCTTAGCAGAAGTCGCAACTTTCGGGTCACTGCAGCATGACTGCACTATAAATTGAGTGACTTCGGCACTAGACTTTATACTACTCATTCGTAGCTTTGGAGACATTAAGCATATGCTGAAGTACGAAACTTGGTTACCAAACTACCGCGAAGAAGACAACATTGAGTGATTCGGTAACCCATGGTCAATGGCTTCGTTTAATCATAACTTATGTAGATTCGCTTATATATGGTGGCTGATTAGTGCCATTTTCGCTTTTTCTCAGTTCAAAACGCAAAAAAGCGAAATTTAAGCATTTCATTTTCGCTTTTTTCGCGTATTTCTTGCAGCACGAAAAAGCGTTTTGATTTGGTTTAATTTTACCAAAATAGGATTCTATTAAAAGAATAATCTCCCGCTCACAAATATATAAGAAAACATCAGAAAACAAGAGTGAGCAAGAAACACATGTGTTGGGAAGTTACATACCATGAAAATTGCGTCCTCCTTGTGCGTCAAAACGGAACGCAAAAGAAGCACCACTCGAAAAAGCGAAAAAAGCACCGAAATGTAACGCGAAAAAGCGAAGTTTTACCTGTGTCGCTTTTAGTATAGTCGGTATAGAGTCTTGTATTCTTGGTGTTTCTGTGCTTCATTTTCCTGTATTGTTCCTCTTAACAGTTGTCTGTTGCGAAGGCGTTAAACCACTTAAGATATTCGTAAGATCGTGTCAGGTGTGCTGAAAAAACTCCAAAGATCACTTTACCACTAAATTTTTCGAATACTGCTACATAAATATCGCTTTATACCTAGTAGGTGTACAATGAAACAATAACTGTCACTGTTAATGACAACTTGTGCGATCTGATAGACGAAAAAAAATATTTATCGGTCCTGTAGAGAAATGATGCACCTGATATAAACATGCAAGCCCAAGCTATATGGACTTAAAGGAAATCAATTTAAATTTGAATATCCTGGGTCGTAGGAGTTAGCAATCAGTAAAGAGGATTGGATTTTTGTTGTTTTTACCATCACTTAATATTGTTCGGAAGTGACAGGGATACTTATATGGTCAATTTGAATTTATGATGTCTGCATTTCTCGACAAGTATCATATCAAAAGTATAGGTGCGGTGTATCTGTTGTTGATTACTGACACACGATGCTATTCGGAAACTCCACCATTTATGTTTAGGTATCGAAAAAAGCGTGTTTTTGTCAAAAAGTTGGAAGTTTAATCTTTCGGAACACCAGTTACAGATGATACAGCGGGATATCATTTTTCGCTTTTGTGGGCTTGGCTCAATATGGCTTTTGAATTTCGTTATACGGTAAAATAATATGTTAATGAGTTTCCCATCTAAATATATTGAAAAGAAAAGAATTTTGCGTGTGATATAATGCCTGCAGTCACCAATATTGATATGATATTTCAAGTGATGATATTTCTATTGAGTTATTGACAATCATAACTATGTTTTGTATTCAATGGTTTTGGTAGAAAGTGAAGCACGAACACGATATGTGTGAAGTGCAGGTTTTTCTTAATATTTTTATATATATCAGTAGCCACCTGTTCAAAACACTAGCATACTGCGAATAGTGGTCAATCTAAAATGGCGCTGCCTCGTTCTCACACATAGCCTCATTTCTGTCTGATGTCAATCAATATTGTAAGGTTTCCCGCCCTTTTTTCCGACAAAATGGGTTTTTGTTGGTTTTACTCTTTTTCTCATCTCTCGCCTAAAAACTTCCGCTCTCGTGATAATCTGTCATATTGGTGAAATATATATGATATTCGGGTGGTAACCATTAGTGCGTTGTCCTTATCATAACACCTTGGTATATCACCCTTACTGTCCACTCCGTTCCCAGGGTAACCGTTCTCATATGACTTACGACGTTGTGATGATGTTAATCCCCGTTGTCGGTACTATATCATTCGCTTGTCGGAGGATTACTAGTCATGTGGGAGAGCTTCATGAACTATGACGTGATGATCCATGATTCATTCTGACGGACAGTGCGTGATTAGAAATCTATCAATTATTCAGATAGCCTTGTGTTATAAAACTAACATAATCCCCGGATAAATCCGGCTGTGTGATGGGTATGTCAATATAACTTTTCTAGAATAATCGGGGACAAATATAAAAGAAATCTGGACAATAGTGTTTTCTGTATTACTCGTCGATACCAAACTATTGATCATACTTAAATGTTTATACACACAGATGGACGCGCGTGCAATGATAACGTGTTTGGGCGTCATAACTGTCACGTACTTCGCAGTTCTACAATTCTGAAATTCTTAGATTTTCTTCTCCATAGGTTTTAGCAGTAACAAGCAATCAAGACTCAGAAACTCCTCGTTAAGGCCCTCTGGTAACAGACAGCTTGGTATGTGCCCACTTTTACATTGGTTGTGGTAAGCACTGATTAACCGCTTATCAGCATCATCAGGATAAGTGTTATTGTATGTTAGAGATTTCACATCATCGCGACGGCTTAAGTAGTAGGCTGTCCACGAATGTCAGTCCGATTCCATACATTTGATATAACAACACTTGTTCATATTGATTTTCTCCGTGTACATTTTGTACCGTTTTCATTTTCAAAAATCCAATTAGGTTATCCTTAATCCCAAGTTATGTCCCTTAGATTTTGGGACTGACCAGAAAAATAAAATGACTGACCGGCGACAATCTTAAATTTGACAGTCAACAATTATCATCGCTTTTTCTTTGGGTGAATTTTCAAATTCTATATACTGGAGAGAAACAGCAAAGGAAAGAAGAGAAAAGAAGGAAAAATAATTATTTATATCAAACTTTTAAAGAACGAATAAAGATCGAACAATGGTGGACACAAAGATTCCGAAAAGGGATGTATATCTGATCGTTTTTCTCCATTCCATAATGTCTTTATTTTTGTCTATTACTTGTGCAATTCAATTTGGAATGAAAACGGAGCTTTTCAGTAATACATCCCGATTTCTGTTGGAAGTATAACCGCAATTAGTGTGTGTATACAAATGATGAATAAAAAAGAAAGAATTCTGAACCCTTGAACGTAAGAAGGAAGAGTATGTAATAGTTAGTTTGTTTAGAAATCAAATCAATAACTAACTAGCCATGGGCTATAATGCATGCATTTTCGTGTCTAACTGATTAACTTTTATCTATATACAAGGTGAAAACCAGACGCTTTTATTTTAGATTCTGATTATGTTAGAATTATCGAAGGCAATGAGAAAGTCGATAGAGTTACTTAGGTAAAACGTACCCTAAACTTAACACTATTAAACTACCTTACCCACATTTAAAAACACTTATCTTAACTGTTACCAAAATGAACTGGCGAAATAATTGGTCTCAAACGGGAAGCTAGCTCCATGAAATTTAATGTGAATACATTTGCTACTAGTCGGCAAGACTAATAGGATCACTTCCGAGCTTGAGGGTAGGGCGGAGGACTGTCTAACCCGAGGGTTTGCCGAAAGTTAGACTGTCGAAAATCTCCGACGAGAGAGTAAAAATTACCGTCTTACCATCAAACTAGGAAATGATATTTTTCTACTCTTTATCTCCAACATACTGGAAATAGAATTACGAGACAAATAATTGCTGACAAATATGGAAACGAAATCAGGAAAATAACATCTTTTCTTTCTGTTTTGAAAGCTTTGTAATCTACATTATACACTGTACAAAGACAATCATAATGATAACTCATTGTCAAAAAAACTTATTTGAAAAGTTAAAGATGAGCTGATACTGTCATACAATGATATCAACATTATCTTAAACTGTCAATATCAATCAATCATGTTTAAAATTTACAACTTCCTGTTAAGCGCGTGCGAATGATCTGTGCGTGCAGGCTGTCTAACGCCGGCAACATAGAGATATCTTACTCTCACCGGAAGTGGGGAAGTTTCCGTCCGATCGGGCAGAATAAACGGCCCTCTCGCATTGACGTATTAGCAATACCTTTACTACACGC